TTGTCTTTATTTTTAGTTAGCACATACCTTAAACACTTAAAGCTGTAAGCTAATGATAGTTATATAAGAGCAGATGCTGCTGGTGCAATAAGCTGTAGTTTTACGTCCAATGGATGATGATCTGATTAGTCGACTAATCGCAAAAATAATCGGTGACAAGTTGACTATCAAAATAATTGTTTGTGGCAGCCCTAGTGAATATGAGGTATTTGTATTTTCTGCAGATGCGATTGAGCCACAGCCACTTTCTCTTTCTGTAATGCCAAAAGACAAATGGTAAAAGTCAGTTATTTTTATTCTGCCCCCAAAATCATCCCAAAAGCTTTTCTCGTCATTCTTCCTGTCGTTGTTCATGCTCCTGCCACACTTTGAAAATGACACATTTGTAATATTGTTGGGAAGATTTAAGCGGAAAGGGGAGCTGCAGCCTTACATAAGATGCAACAAGACGATGCACTGTTGTAGCTGTAACTGTTTGCTAAAATAACTGCTAACAGTTTCTTCTGTATTGTCCTGTTTTTTCTGTCTCAGCAATCAGCAAACACCAGTCTCTGAAGACACCACAGGCTTATTTGGGCCTCCTTTAGAAACAGCCTTTGGAGAACAGAAAACTGAAGGTAACCCCCTCCCTCTGTGTCTCTGTCTGTGTTGGCTCTTTGAATATGTTTCTGTTGATGCTTCGCTGTCAAAGTATGTTAGCAGTTTGATGAAAAACACACACGTGTCTGTGTGAGGCTTCCAGCTAGTTTTGGATGTCTTTGTTGAGGATGGTTGACGGCAGTCCTCTGAGGTCGCGCTCTTTTGCACAGTGAAACGTGTTCATATGCAGATTCTGCCGTCACCTGCTCACATCCAGCCCTGCAGGATTTTATGATGCAGACTGTGGTCGAGCTCTTAGCTCTTACGCAACTGCCATGTCAGGCGTAAGTAACATCAGCTTGACACAAATTCCCTTCACATTAATTCAGACAAGTAGAAAAGCTCTGCGTCTGGCACTTTGAACTGGTAAAGTTTCACTTTCTTTCCAGTAAATACTGGTTTCATTACGATCCTCTTAAGGTCAGTTAGAAATTCTCGGTGTAATTTGACGCAGCGTTAGTTAAGTTGAATCGTTGTCTTTGTGAAACTGCTGGAAGAGTGTAGACGGGATGTGTTGCAGGTTTGTTACGTCACGCTGCATTCATCCTTTTTAGCTTATTAGCTGGTGTATTTTTTTCAGATGTCTTTTTTTATATGCAATTATAAAAGCGAATATTATATAGTGGCACTGAATCGAGTGCGTGTTCTTGTGTTGACGCATTGTGATTGCAGTTTGTCGCTAAGACTGGAAGT